TATATATATATGAATATCACAATGACCCAAACCACTAGCTAAGGATAAGACTGAATTTTTTGCATCATATTCTTAAATAAGAAATTGAATTAGACAAAACTAGGAACCAACTAAAACCGGGACCAGTGTCTTCTTGTTTTCTTGTGGTTGTGATTGTGCATGTCCTTGCATGCTAGTCTGCATGGCTTCCAAGGAAGCATATGAGCTAGCATGAGATGATAATTCATCACGAAACCAATGAAAGATAAATTAGAAAATAGAAAAATAATAAAAAAAACTATTAAATACCACATACAAGGTTGATAAGAAAAATAATCGAATAACATTTTAGTTGTTGATTGGTTTTAATTTCATCTAAATTTTTGTCCACTATTCATAATCAGCAATCATATAGAAATATGATTATGTTTTCTTTTTTTGGAATTAAGGCTTGTAATTTTTTATTTTTTATTTTTGAAAAGGATATGATCTCTATTAAGAATAATTGTGATCGTTAACACGTTTGTCAACTGATGCTTTTGTAGGAAATGATCGCGATGTTTTAGGTAGAATTTTGAATCCATCTGCTCTTAATAATGAAAGCCACGTGTTCAAAGAGCTCCGAGATGCTATATATTTTTCGCGAAACCCAGCGGTTGTTAGTTGGGTTGGGGAAGGTGGAGGAGTTTGGAAAAGTGGTCGAGAGAATGTTACAAATAAATTCGTCTTTGGATTTTGGTAATTAGTATGCATATGTCAGTATGCATATGTTTTTAGTCAATGTAGAGGCAAATTTACTTATTTTTCTCAGTTAGTATCTACCTCACCTTTGATCATCATAATCAAATTTGGTACTCTCTCCAAATTACAATAAACGAGGAGTAATAAATTTATGTTATAAGTGGACAAAACATATAGAGGACGTCAAATTGGTTAATCGAAATTAATTAGGATTACTCAAATCAAGATATAGGTAAATGTGCGTACTAAAATCGAATATTGTCTTCCTTGGAAACAAATTTATTCTTTGCAGATTAGTTTTGATATTTTCTTTTTTCTTTTTTTTTTTTTGTGCATGGTAATTATGTGTGTGTAGGTACTTGGATCAGCTAGGGCAAGCATCGATTTACGGTACAAGGACATACTGCAGACAGTCATTAATTGGTGGTAACTATGGTTTACTCGACACTAACACATTTGTTCCGAATCCAGATTACTACAGGTCAACTCAATTTCGACATATTTCACGTCATTTTCGCATTTGTTTTCCCATCTATAATATTTGCTGCTAAATTTGATAACATTTTGAGGTCGCTTTCTTATTTCTTCGCGTTTATAAATTATAATACGCCCGAACTTCTGTTGTTTTTCACGTAACCTCTCTTAATTCGTTATCTTGCAGTGCCCTTCTTTGGCACAAGTTAATGGGACCAGGTGTTTTGTGGGTCGAATATAACGGGACTAAAATGATCCGTGCTTATGCTCATTGTGCTAAGAAATCTGTAAGATATCTCAAACCTTTTTTTTTTTAATTTCTGAATATCTTATATAGTTCCATAATAAAAAAAATAGTATATTGATGGTATCACTAAATAGAGCATATCCAATAATGCATTTCCGGTAATGTTTTTGGGGGATTGTGGAATACCAAAAATAGTATATTGAAAGTAAATTTGCTATGGTTTTGTGGATTGTGGAATACCACATCTAGTGGTCGGAGAAGTGTGTTGAAATATTCATTTCTGGTAATGTTTTTGGGGCAAACTTTCAAAAAAGATACACCAAGTTGGCGTTGTCAGGAAACGAAATATTATGTTGTCCCTAACGGAAAAGATACATTTAGTTGTCATTTTGACTAAATAAGATGCATTAATCACCGAATCAGAATAAAATGATGATCTGGACGGATAAAGTAACGACGTGGCATTTTAATCTTCTTAATTTCCTACGTGTTATTTACGAGGTATGATGTGACATCTTTCTTTTTAAGTACACAATTACACATAGATATAAAATAAAAAAAAATAAAAAAAATGAAATAAAATAAAAACAAAAATAATATTAAAATTAAAAAAATAATAATAATAAAATAATAATAATAAAAAATAAAAAATCACAAAATAATTAGAAAATATATGTAATTCTTTAATATTTTGTTAAATATATATTAAAAACATCATAAAAATCATTATGTTTCATTAATATTTCGTTATACATAAATATGTTTCATTAATATATATTAAAAATTATTACAAAAATTAGTTCAATAAAAATAATAATTATATATAATTTAGTATATTATCTAATATAATACTTTACATAATATTATATTTTTTAATATAATATAGATATAAATCACAAAATATATTGTATATTCAAAAAATCATATTTTAATATATATAAAAAGGATATATATTTGAAAATATATATCATATATTAAAAAAATAAAAATATATGTAAATATTTATAAGTGATTTCAGGATCACACGCCATTTGAATTTTCAAAAAAAAAAAAAAAAAGAAATGAATTTCGGGTCTGCTACCTTCGCCACCGCCATCACTGGTCCCCGGCCGACCACCTCTAATCGTTTTTTTTTTTTTACATCATCCTGAAGTTCTTCTTATCCTCGTTCACCTTATTAAACTTTTGATGAAAATTCCACCAATAAGTTCATCAATTGCTCGGTCAAAGTTTATAGATTTAGAAAGTTCTAGTCAAAATCAGACTTTCTTCTTCAAGTTCTCGGTGATTCACGACGACCCACCAAAATCCGAGGACATCTCTGTACTCCTCACCCTGCCCCGCCCCCTATGGTTGCGGTGGACAGCGCACGATAGCGGGGGGCGGAGGCAGCAAACCAGAAATTCAGACTTTTTTTTTAAAAAAAAAATTTAGATGGCGTTTGATCCTGAAATTATATATAAATATTGAAATATATTTTTAATATAATATATATATTTTACATAAACAATAATATGCTTTTTTAAATATAAATATATATTATGATTTACATATATCTATAACATTATATATATATATATATATATATATATATATTCAATAAATGAAATATTATGTAACGTATTGGTATCCGACCGACTGAAGACGGCTAACTTGAACCACCACCTCGGCGGTTGAACGTCAGGTACCTGCAAAAAACTCTCACACCGGAGGGGTTTTCTCGATGAAGCTTAAGTATGTATAAGCTTTACGTAATTCTCCAGTGGATAAAATCGTGCTCAAAACGTAAAGCTCACCCCTATCTATAGGGGTGAACTACCTGTTTCCAGGGGTTGCCCGGATGAGCTGAGTTGGCTACCCAAAGCTGCCCGACCTACCAGTTTGAACACATACAATGTACGTGTGTCAGAGACGGTTATACCAATCGAGTTGCGCCACATGTGCTTTACACATTGGGGTTTGATCCCCTTGAGATCTTCTCAAAGGGGCTCTAGTGTTCGAATAGGTCTAGGTCAATCCTCTGACTGCTCTAAGTCGGGGAAATGGTCGATCCATCAACCAGTTGTATCAAAGGTCGATCTTCGACTAGACCATCAATGAGTCCGAGATTGACCTGTTCCCTATGCACCGAAGTCCCTCTCTAGGTTGTCGTACCTTCTACTGGTTTTTCCTTTTTCGATGCTCGACCACGATCACTCTTTCCCTATTTTCTCGACCAGAGCAGTTTATTCGGTTTTCTCAACTCATTCAACCGACTGACTGGACCTGTTCACTCCTTTAGGTATAATATCCCATATCATCTAGTCCTCCCCCCACTCTGGTCAAGTCTGAATTACTCGATCTAAAAGTAGATTTTCGTCCATCCGCCTAACTGGTGCGCTCTCCACCATGTATCGACCACCTGATGAGTATTCTTTTACTCTTCGACCATTTTTCCTTCTGTCCGCCATTGTCAGATTTAGAACTGCCACTTTTCACATCTGTCAGATACATCAATCATTACGTCTCCTCGTGATTTGCACCTCTTCGTGTATTACGCCTATGAAATGCACCGTAGCCGTTGGATTTTCCTTTAATCCAACGGTCACGATGTTTGAACTTTCATCTCTCCTCTTGTACATCCTATAAATACTCATACTTAGAATTTTTTACACTTTTTCACCCTCACCAAATTTCAAACTTAATTGCGCCCCAGCTTTCTCTCGCTTTTGTCTTCTCGGCAACTGGCTTCTTTGCAAGTACACGTTTTTTCAGCGACCTCTCCAACTGCGACTATGAGTAAGTTCTCCAATTCCTCAAGTTTGTGTTTTCATTTTTAATTTTTCTGGTCTTCTGATTTTCGATTCTCATTTTAGAAATTTCACTCAAACCCTTGCCGCAAAAATCTTCTTCTTTTTCCTTCTTCTATTTTCTTCTAAGCCCTAATTATTTTTCTTTTGATATCTCTTTCTCCATTATTTTTTGAGATTCGTCTACTTCAAACGAGAATGACCACCACCCCGGCGAGGATATGACTTCCCCATCTTCTTTGCCCACTCCTCCTAATTTTCCTCCTTTCATCAAATCGGTCGAAGAAATTCTTCAACCCACACCTATCAACATACTTCAACCCGTATTCCCTGAACAAACTCATCTAGAGTCTCCCCCTCTCCGCCAACCTTTTCGTATGATCGATGATTCTGACGATGATGTTCTTGAACATGTTCCCCTTGGCCATCAGCCTCACCTGCCTTCGGTGCTCATGATGGTGCCGACGTAGCTCTCGAGGAGGAAGACCACGAGGTCCCCCGTCCCAATCCAGCAGTTTTGACCAAAACCCGGACCTCCAAAACTGCTTGGACCAAGATCACAACCACACCATCCTCTTCCAAATTCACCAAAACCAAAACGTTGACCCTGCCAACTTCTTCCAAAACAACAAAAATTAATCCCTTGACCCGCCACTCTGCTACTTACCCCAAGACCAATAAATCACGTCCAATTTCTAACTCTACCAACTGGTTGGACCATGACAAGATCAGTCAACCTTCATTTTGGGCATTCATCAGTCTGACAGTGACAACTTCTATAATCATCCTCCCACTCCAACTACTATACCTTCTTCAAGATTCAGTTCGACCTGGGTATTTGCTTCCCCCTCAGCCCTGATTTGCATGAAGTATGTGACTGGTTTGGCCTTTCTCTAAACCAACTTCCCACAACTCGATCCGCATTCTGACTACCTTCATTATTCTTTCTCACATTTGTCTAGGTCGATTCGACCTAAATTTCTTCTGTTATTACTATATGCCTTCCAAACAAGCTCAGTGGCTCTATTGAAGAGTCGAAATAAAGCTCACTTCATTTCTAATATCCCTCGGACTATCCTCGATGGAAGGAGAAGTTCATATATGTCAAGTGCAACACCCTCTTTTCTTAAGCTGCCACAACGTGGCTTTTCGAGCTTCCCTTTGAGCTCGAGAGCCCTCCTCAGAGTCCACTCTTTGACCAACGTATCGCCATCTGGGATTCCAAACCTGTCTCTTCGAACACCTTCATAAAAGATGACAATCTTATACACTATTGTGGTATTCTTAGCCATAAGTCGTTGTCTTCTCCTGATGAAAAAATCCTCGATTCTATTCGAGTAGATGGTGATCCTGGTAGGTTTCAATCATTTCTCTCAATTAATAAACTTTTATTTACATCCTAACTTTTTCCTTTGTCTTTCTTTTGAGATGTCTGTCATTTCTTTGCCCAAGAGAAAAGTTCCCCTCAAGAAGAAGTCGACCCAGCAGTTGACTCCTCAACCATCAAAATCGAAAACTCCTTGACGCACTCTTTCTCCTTCCTCGAAGGAGGTCGAGCATGCTTCCCCCCTTTCCCCCAGGGAGCAACCTACCAATCTGACATCGACCGGAGAGCGGAGGCCTACCTTTCCACCAGTCGAGCAACAATGCGTTATCTCCTCATCTTCCCCGCAGTCGACCAATCCCATAGTCGAAAAACAACGACCTTTACCTCCACCCGAGAGGGTCCTTGGCATCTCTCTCACTAAACGTCCTCTCCTCAGGGATAATGAGGATAGTAACAAATGTCCTCGCGTAGAGGAGACCTTGCACATCCTCAACCATCCCCCTTCTGTGGGAAGGGCTAGTGGAAAGTAAATTGTGTCCTTCTAAGGACGTCCTTCCCACCGCCGACCTTCAAGGTGGCTGCTCCAACTTAAAATCCCGAAGTGAGCTCATCATTGCCCACCTAGTGACACGGGTAAACTTCTAATTCACCCTTTCAATTTGCGATCCTATTCACCATCGTTCTACATTAATTTTGCCGCTTTCTTGTAAAATCCCTGAAGCTTCTTTGGCGTTATTGACTTTGATGACTCTTGAAAAATATTGTCTAACAAGGCTTGTTGTATTATGTAAAGCACTTGTGCGTCCTTCCGATTCTCTTCACATAGTTTTTTTCTTCTTCTCGAATGGACGATGTTGATACATCCGTGAAAATATTAACTCCATTGTAAGAACGTCTAATAACTCTTGTGATAAAAAAAAAGAA